CGCCTTTCTATTAATCCACAAAGTTTGAGATGTCTGATTGTGTATTGTGTTGAATTATACACCTGCCAGTTCATATCAAGCTGTGTTACAGTTGTTTGTTTCTGCACTGTACCCCTTTCTGGCAAGTAAGGCTGGAAGAAGGGCTTCTCAAACCTCACTTGATAAGCAGTCCTGATTGAAATCATCCAGTCTTAAAGCTTAAAACATACATTGTTGAATTTTAGCAGGTCTTCTGAAGGCCTCATGATGTTTGTGCAGAGCTTAATTTAGATTTCGTGAGTCACTGCAGGCACAGTCAACGCTTACAGTTTAGGACCATGCGGCATATTGTGCTGTGTCTGTGGATTCAGGACGGCATGCTGTCAAAGATGCAGTTTTGTTATGGGAGTGTTAAACCTCACAGAAGCTGCAGCTGTTCTCCCCTCTAGACTGAAGAAGAAATAGAATTTCCAGCGCGGTGCCGGTTCAGTGTGGGGAATTTAAATATTGAATACATACATAAAAGAAGATAAACGAGAGCTTCCAACTCTCACCAGTTTCCCTTTCTGTTGGGACTCGTTGTTAATCACACTTACTGCACATTATTATTCTGAGGGTGCAATTGTTTATCATGCATTTTCTCAGTAAATAAAATATGTCTTCAAAGTTTATGGAATACATTTTTCTTTGAGAGGCAGAAAGTGTTGGTTGTTGTCACACATGCCAAAATATGACTTGTTACTTCTTTGTGAATCATAGCTTTTTTCTTTGATTCAAGCTATGAATTGGAAAGGAGTAGCTATCATTGATAGCATGATATTAGAGTGACTGTTTGTTTGTTTTTTTTTTTTTTTTGTTAACACTTAATTGTAACAATCCAAGTTGTTCAGCCCTCACAGGGGAAATTTTAGTTCATTACTTGTTTATAGTTTACCTTGTTGAGTGTGATTGGAGTACATATTTTGTTTATTTATGGAGAAAACTTCAATTTACTTTAGTTTTCTGTAGTTGGGTTATTAAAACTGAAAAATGTAGCCAGTGATCTAGCTGTTTCTGACAGCAGTGGTTGTTAATGAAATCCCAAGGATTTGGTTTATACTGCATGTAGTCTAATATGGGTATTGCATAGATTACAACAATGGGGCAAATAACAAATACTTTTTTAAATAGTTTCATTCTGCTGCAGTGACAAATACCTTGACCAAAAGTAATTGAGGGAAAGAAAGGACTTATGTGGCTTATACTTCCAGGTCATAGTTCATCATTGAGGGTAGTCAGAGCAGGAAGTGGAATAGATGCTTGTAGCAGAGACCTTGGAGGAGAGCTTTTTTTTTTTTTTTTTTGAATTTTATTTTTTTCTTATCAGTTACATTTTATTAACTCTGTATCCCAGCCGTGTCCCGATCCCTCCCTCCCTCCCAGTCCCTCCCTCCCTCCCTCATCTCCACCGCGCCCCTTGCCAAGTCCACGGATGGGGGGACCTCCTCCGCATTCATCTGATCCTGTTTTATCAGGTATCTTCAGGACTGGCTGCAAAGCTCTCCTCTGTGGCCTAACAGGACTGCTCCTCCCTTGGGGGGTGGGGAGGCCAAAGAGCCAGTCATTGAGTTCCTGTTAGAAATAGTCCTTGTTCCCTTCACTATGGGAAACCAATTGGTTACTGAGCTACCACAGGCTACATCTGAGCAGAGGATCTAGGTTATATCCATACATGGTCCTTGGTTGCATGTCAGTCTCAGAAAAGACCTTGTGCCCAGATATATTTGGTCCTTGTGGAGCTCCTATCCTTTCCTCATCAGACTAACTCCCCTTCTTTCTTATGATTCCCTGTACTCTGCCAAAGGTTTGGTCATGAGTCTTTGCTTTGAAAACACTGCTAGTTAGAGTCTTTCAAATGCGCTCAGTAGACTCCTGTTATATGTTCAATGCGCATCCCATCTGTCTTTCTAAACGAGGATTGATAATCTTACCCCATGTCTGCTCTCTTGATTATCTTTTTTAGGTATATAGACTTCATTATGTTTATCATATCTTATAGGTCTATATAAGTGAGTATATACCGTGTTTGTCTTTCTCCTTCTGGGATACCTCACTCAGAATGATCTTTTCTAGATCCCACCATTTGCCTGCAAATTTTATGATTTCCTCCTTTTTGATTGCTGAGTAGTATTCCATTGTGTAAAAATACCACAATTTCTGTACCCATTCCTCCGTTGATGGACATCTGGGTTGTTTCCAGGTTCTGGCTATTACAAATAAAGCTGCTATAAACATGGTTGAGCAAATATCCCTTTTGTGTACTTGAGCAAAGTTTGGGTATATACCTAGCAGTGGTATAGCTGGGTCTTGAGGAAGCACTATTCCTAATTGTCTTAGAAAGCGCCAGATAGATTTCCAGAGTGGTTGAACCAGTTTATATTCCCACCAGCAGTGGAGGAGGGTTCCCCTTTCTCCACAACCTCTCCAGCATGTGTTGTCCCTTGAGTTTTTCATCTTGGCCATTCTGATGGGTGTAAGGTGATATCTCAGGGTCGTTTTGATTTGCATTTCCCTGATGGCTAATGAGGATGAGCATTTCTTTAAGTGTTTCTCTGCCATTCGATATTCCTCTGTCGAGAATTCTCTGTTTAGCTCTGTTCCCCATTTTTTAATTGGATTACTTGGTTTGCTGCTTTTCAGCTTCTTTAGTTCTTTGTATATACTCAATATTAGTCCTCTGTCAGATAAAGGGTTAGTGAAGATTCTTTCCCAATCTGTAGGCAGTTGTTTTGTTTTGATGACAGTGTCCTTTGCTTTACAGAAGCTTTTCAGTTTCATGAGGTCCCATTTATTGATTGTTGCTCTTAGAGCCTGTGCTGTTGGTGTTCTGTTCAGGAAGTTGTCTCCTGTGCCAATGAGTTCTAGGCTGTTCCCCACTTTTTCTTCTAACAGATTTAGAGTATCTGGTTTTATGTTGAGGTCTTTGATCCACTTGGACTTTAGTTTTGTGCAGGGTGATAAATATAGATCTATTTTCATTTTTCTGCATGTGGACATCCAGTTGGACCAGCACCATTTGTTGAAGATGCTGTCTTTTTTTCCATTGAATGGTTTTGGCTTCTTTGTCAAAAATCGAGTATTCATAGGTGTGTGGGTTTATTTCTGGATCTTCTATGCGGTTCCATTGATCCTCCTTTCTGTTTTTATGCCAATACCATGCAGTTTTTATTACTATTGCTCTGTAGTACAACTTGAGATCGGGGATAGAGATACCTCCAGATGATCTGTTGTTGTACAGGATTGTGGAGGAGAGCTTTTTTATGCAGCTCAGAACTGTTTGTGGCGGGAGTGGTAATGCTCATAGTGGGCTGGGCTCTTTTCACTAATTAACAACCAATACAACCCCCACAGGCCAGTCTGATCTAGAAAATGCCTCAATGCAGGCTTTTCTCTCAGAGGACACCAGGACCTGTCAGGTTGACAATAAAAATCCTTCCTTTCTCTTTTAGACATTTGAGGGCTCATGCTGGCCTCAAACTTTGTGGCTCAGGGTTATTCTTGAACTCATGACTCCGCTATCTTTATTTTTTAACACTGGAGTTATAGGCATGTACCATCAAACTTGGCTTTATATGTCTTTTTAAATGACAGGCTTATGGAGCTATAATTTATCATCAAATTAATTTGTTCTAATATGTAATTTAATGCTTTGTAGTATATTCACTGAGCAGTGCAACTGTTCCACAGTTCAGTTTAGAACATTCCTGTCACCTCTGCAAGGTTCCTCATGTGTTCTTAAAAAGATCTGTGTCTCTGTGTGTCTTTACCGGAGTGTGCATGTAAGGAAGTAGTTCTTAACCTGCCTAATGCCGGGACTGCATAGTATAGTTCCTCACGTTGTGGTGAACCCCAACCATAAAATTATTTTTGTTGCTACTTCATGACTGTAATTTTGCTACTGTTTGAATTTTAACCTAATTATCTGTTTCCGATGGTCATCAGCAACTCCTATGTAATGATCATTCCTACCTGCAAAGGGGTTGTGCCCCTCAGGTTGAGAGGGTAAGCTCAGGTGTCAATCACTGCCTCCTACCTTGTTTGTTTAGTGCTGCGTCTGTCAGGTTGGCTGGCCCCAGAGCTTCCTGGGAGTCTACCTCCACCTCACCTTTCTGGAGATCTAGGATCACACATGCCTGATACTCTGCTCTTCCTGTTGGGCTTTGGGGATCTGAACACAGCTTCCCATGAACACAGCCATCTCTTCCTTGACTTTCCATGAGACATAGAACTAGCGGGGAGATGTTTTAAATAGTAGGGCTTTATTTATTCTTTTGAATGAATATGAAATGTCTTCTGTTCCCCATACATATACATTGCCAGTGTAAATTGTGTTATGGAGCCATATGATGACACATATAAAATATGTTTGGATTTGCACAACATTTTTTACCAAGGAAAACCTGTGTCAGAGAGAAGAATTCTTTCATGTTTGTTTTTGAGTCCTAATCAAACATTTTTCAGATTGCCTTTAGTGTTTGATCTTTTCAGCTTTTTACTTTTAATAAATCACAGTTGAAAACCCTGACAAGTTCATTTGAGGCACTTTGGGCGGTGCACTGCATACTCACAGCAGGGTCTCCCAGACCGTCAAGCTCATGGATAAAAAGATAGAAAGAATGAAAGTGCTAGGACAGTTTAGCATGAATTAGGTAATGAAGGCAATTGTTGGCAAGCTGGTGATTTCACTTGGCATCACCAGAGGGCGCTCTTTTCTAGTCAGTCTCTTTGAAGGCTGAGCAAGTACTCTGTTGCAGTTGAACAATTTGAGTCCTGTTGGTGGGGATCTAGGTATGGCTATTTTGAAGACTGACCACTGCTTTGTTTTGTAACTTTAATTAACTTTTGGGCCAGGTGCTCTAAATGGTGTCATTAGAAAGAGTTCTACAAACAAGTCAATACTTTAAACATAGTGTTTCTGGGATATCTTTAGCTCTGTTTCATCTGCTACTCCCTAATGCCACTTTTTCTATGTTCATATTGAGGTTTCAGATCGAGTGGAGCGGCGGCTTCAGGAAATAGAAAGAGAGATGCGCATAGAAAGAGAGCTGGTGGAAAGACGCCATGACCAGCTGGGACTTGTGTCCCTGAAGCTTCAGGAGGTTTGTGAGAAGTGCTTTCTTGGGATTTGGATTGTTATTTAGTCACTGCTAAAATAGTTATAATTCTGGGTTGGGATGTGGCTTAGTTGGCAGAACACCACATAAATTGGATGTGGTAGTGCCCACCTGTAATTCGAGCACTTGGGAGGTGGGGCTAGGAGGATAAGAAGTAGTCACAATTCTATAGGCTGCACAAGATGTCATATGTAGTTCATGGCACAAGAGAAGTATAGCATCTAGTTACAGTTGAGAGCATAGTTTGTTTGCCCTTGGAAGGTTTTTTTTTTTTTTTTTTTTTAATTCTTAGTTCCAGTTTCTGCCATAGAAAATGGGAATAATAATCTCTACCTAATGGCCTGGGTGGAAGGATAACAATGAGCTAATGCTGGTGTCTGGAATGAGCTCAACAGTGTGTACAAAAAGTGTAATTATTCTGATTATTTTGGGGCCGTGGACACCAGGGAGCACTGCACTGTGGCTCATTTTGTAAATAAAGTTCTATTGGATTGCAACCATTCCTGCTTATTCAAATACCATCCTTGGATGCTTGTGTGACAAAGTGGCAGATTTGAGTGGTTCTGATAGAAGATGTCCTGCTCCTGGTATTGGCAAGTCTGGACTTCAAGCAAGCTTGCCCATCTGTGAATTAGTTTGCCAGCAAAACAGTTCTGAAGCTGCACGTAACTCTTTAGATGATCATTTCTTTCTTTATTGAAATTTCAGATGTCTGGTGTGAAAAATTAGAGCAAAGAACTTGTGTGAAATTGGGTCTCCTCAGTATTCAGGCTTTACCAGCCTGACTTTATCATCTTTTCTAATACAGCCAGAGTGTGTAGCGTTTTATTCTGAAATGGACTTGAGAAGGCGGCAGGTATAACGTCTTCTGTTGCTGAGATAGAGCACCATGACCATAAACAACCTGAGGAGGACACAGTTTCTTTTGGCTTGTACTACTAAGCCACAGACTATCACGGGGGGGGGGGGGGGGGGAAGGCAGAAACTTGCAGGCAGGAGCTGACGGCGAGGCCATGGAAGAGTGTGGCTTACTGCCTTGCTCCTCATGGTTTGCTTTGCCTGCATTCTTACAGCACCTAGGACTGCAAGCACAGGCGTGGCACCACTCACAATAAGCTGGGCCCTCTTATATCATCAATCAAGAAAATGCGCTACAGACTTGCCAACAGGCAAATCTTATGGAGGCAGTTTTTCAATTGAAAGTCCTTCTCCCCCAGTAACTCTTAAGTTATGTCAGGTTGACAAAAACCAGCCAGGACAAATGTAAATATATTTACATTAAAGGGCCTTTTATAAGTAGTTTATATTGTTTAGACCCAAGAAAGGCTGCAAATACAGTCTGAAGTAAAATAGGAAATGCCATCTTTCTAGAGACGGGGTTAGACACTCTAATGTGATAACTGAAGATCTTTCTTTCCCCAGCAGCAGGGATAATTCTTGCCTGGCTCTTGAGTCGCCATTCACAGGTGTAGCCAAAGCAATAGGGTATAAACCACATAGAACAAAATGAACTAGTCTGCTGAGTGTACGCTTCAGGCTCTGCAATTCAAATCACCTGCACTTAAAGGTAAACTTACAGACTTTAGTAAGAACATTCCCTGTCAGAAAGGGACATGGCCATAGGTAAGTGGCAGCCACTTGTGACAACATTTTATTTATGATGCTCTGTAAAAGATTGCTGTCCAGCCACCAAAGCCACCATCAAGCCAGTGTTTGTCAGGATGTGTTCAAGTAGCTTCCTTTCTGATCCTGGAAGTTGGCTAATTCTATGATATTGAAAACTTAGTTCTCTTTGGTTATAGCTCCTTTATGACTGTCCATCTTGAGTCAGATGCCCTCTTCAGCAGCTGGCACTTATCCCGGTTCTCCCATGTCGGCTTAAGAACAGCCCTTGCTCCTCTTGCCCACACTCCATCCATAATAGAAATGTTTTGTACTAGTTTATCGTGTGCTTTCTTCTGAACCACAGGATAGTGATTACAGCTCACAGCACTATGATGAACTGTAGGTTTCATGCAAGTTTTGCTAGTCACTTCTTCTTTGGCCCAGAGTAAAACCCAGGCCACACAGTGTTGATTTCTGCAAGTCTTTTTGTTTTCATCAATGATGACTCTGTAGGATTCTAGTACAATGCTCATAGGGGGGCTTTGAGTTAGGGGTTTTTGGATTCTTGGCAGAGAACCCAGAAGACTAAATTGTGTCCCTTTCAGAGTTCCGTATCATGGGTCACGAGCTAGTGACAACAGAGCACATGACTATGGGGTTGCCAGCCAGGCTGCTCTACTGCAGCACTGCTATTATTCCTTTCAAATTGTTTGTTCTACGAGGAGACTCAGAAAGATCCTGTTTTTCAAATCGTACTTTATCTGCTAATTTGGGTGGATGTTGTTAATTTTTCTGGGAAACAATTATTACTCTAAGTGGTGCCAATTAGTAATGAAAAGGAACAACTCTGTCACTGATTTCTTTTACACTGATTACTTATGTGGCAAGAGTTTTCCTTACCTCTCATCTGTCTGACTGCCTTTCTGCCTTCTTGTCTCCCTCTCTCCTTCTCTATCTGTCCATCTGTCTATTTTACTGAAGATTCTTATTTTATTACTTTGAATATATTTTTCCCCATGACTGAGAATCATTTTGTTGAAATTCCTTTTCAGTAATTAATATATCTATGGAGTATAAAAATGTGAAAAATAAGAAAATCAAAGAATCAAAACAAATTAGGATTTTTATCAGCTTTAAAATGTTTTTTTTTTTTCTAAATTTTTCAAAATATATGTGGTTACAGATTGCTCACCATTATCAATTGGCACCTTTTTTTTTTTTTTCAAATATTAATAGACACTGTCAGTTTAACCAGGGCGGGGGGTGGGGAGGAAGATTCTGCCCTGAAAGCGTAGTTCGAGCTGAAAGGTAACATTTGCCGTACTTTAAAAAAAATTCCATTTTTCCATTTTACCAAAAGCAATCTACAGATTCAATGCAATTCTCATCAATTTTTTTAAATTTTTTATTAATTACACTTTATTCATTTTGTATCCCCCCATAAGCCCCTCCCTTCTCCCCTCCCGATCCCACCTTCCCTCCCCTTTCTGCATGCATGCCACTCCCCAAGTCCACTGATAGGGGAGGTTCTCCTCTTCTTTCTGATCTTAGTCTATCAGTTCTCATCAAAAGTGGCTGCATTGTCCTCTACTGTGGCCTGATAAGGCTGCTCCCCCCTCAGGGGGAAGTGATCAATGAGCAGGCCAATCAGATTATGTCAGAGGCAGTCCCTCTTCCCATTACTATGTAACCCACTTGGACACTGAACTGCCATGGGCTACACCTGTGCAGGGGTTCCAGGTCATCTCCACGAATAGTCCTTGGTTGGAGTGTGAATCTCTGGGAAGTTCCCTGTGTTCAAATTATCTTGTTCTGTTGCTCTCCTTGTGGAGTTCCCAACACAATTCTTTACAGACCTGGAAAGAAAAATTCTCAACTTCATATGTAATAACAAGAAACCCAGAATTGCTAAAACAATCCTCTACAATAAAAGATCTTCTGGAGGTATCTCCATCCCTGATCTTAAGCTGTACTATAGAGCAACAGTTATAAAAACTGCATGGTACTGGCATAGAAACAGAATGGTGGATCAATGGAATCGAACAGAGGACCCAGAAATAAACCCACACACTTATGGACACCTGATCTTTGACAAAGATGCCAAAACCATACAATGGAGAAAAGATAGCATCTTCAACAAATGGTGCTGGTCTAACTGGATGTCTACATGTAGAAAAATGAAAATAGATCCATATTTAACATCCTGCACAAAACTGAAGTCCAAGTGTATCAAAGACCTCAACATAAAACCAGACACATTAAATCGGTGAGAAAAGAAAGTGGGGAATACCCTTGAACTCATTGGCACAGGAGACAACTTCCTGAACAGAACACCAACAGCACAGGCTCTAAGAGCAACAATCAATAAATGGGACCTCATGAAACTGAAAAGCTTCTGTAAAGCAAAGGACACCGTCATCAAAACAAAACAACTGCCTACAGATTGGGAAAGACTCTTCACGAACCCTTTATCTGACAGAGGACTAATATTGAGTATATACAAAGAACTAAAGAAGCTGAAAAGCAGCAAACCAAGTAATCCAATTAAAAAATGGGGAACAGAGCTAAACAGAGAACTCTCTGTAGAGGAATATCTAATGGCAGAGAAACACTTAAAGAAATGCTAAATGTCATTAGCCATTAGAGAAATGCAAATCAAAATGACCCTGAGATATCACCTTACACCCATCAGAATGGCCAAGATCAAAAACTCAAGTGACAATACATGTTGGAGAGGTTGTGGAGAAAGGGGAACCCTCCTCCACTGTTGGTGGGAATGCAAACTCGTACAACCACTCTGGAAATCAATCTGGTGCTTTCTCAGACAACTAGGAATAGCGCTTCCTCAAGATCCAGCCATACCACTCCTAGGCATATATCCAAAAGGGGCTCAAGTACACAATAAGGACATTTGCTCAACCATGTTTGTAGCAGCTTTATTTGTAATAGCCAGAAGCTGGAAATAGCCCAGATGCCCCTCAACTGAAGAATGGATGCAGAAATTGTGGTATATCTATACAATGGAATATTACTCTGCAATGAAAAATAAGGAAATCATGAAATTTGCAGGTAAATGGTGGGACATGGAAAGGATCACCCAGAGTAGCTGTCCCAGAAGCAGAAAGACACACATGGTATATAAAGACATATAACATAGGATAAACCTACTGAAACCTCTACATCTAAAGAAATTAATCAAGAGAGAGGACCCTGACTAAAATGCTCAATCCCCATCCCAAAAGGCAAAGAGGATGGACATCAGAAGAAGAAGAAAACAGGAAACAACCTAGGAACCTGCCACAGAGGGCCTCTGAAAGGCTCTACCCTGCAGACTATCAAAGCAGACACTGAGACTTAGGCCAACTGTTGGGCAGAGTGCA